ATTATATGTATATTTTAATCTTAATATTCATTAAATGAAACTTTCTACTTATATGATTTTGTATCATTTGTTTCTTGTTACAACAAAAATAATTAAATCATAGATCACAAAAATTTGATCGTGAGACTTTTAATAGTTTAGTAATTTATAGTCATTTAAAAACCAAATATAAAATATACAGAAATTTTTTAATTTATTATATGGTTAATGTGGCTGTTTAATTTATTTTAATAATGTAAAATTAAACAAATATGATAGAGGATACACTAATTTTTATCAAATATTTATTATTCAAAATCATTAATTTTCATATATACGTTAGTCATATTAGACAATTACGTAATATTTATTTAAGGAAAGAAGAACAAAATTAATAATGAATTTATTGTTAGTTTAATAAAAAATATATTATATATTTAAATGTACCAACATTTTTCTCTAATTACTCTAAGACTCATTGTGATGATGACACATGACTACCTAAATTTTAGTTGTAATGCTTCTCAAATAACATATAAGAGATAGTAATGTAAATAATATGCATAGTCATACTAATATGATAAGATAAATATATAATACCATAATATTCATATACTCTGTTTTCTATTCATTTATACTATTTTTAAGTTTTATTTAAATTATATTTTTTCATTGATTATATATTTTTTATGGGTTATTATTAAAAAGAGCAGATAGAATTTTGTGAAAATTTATATCTTAGCAATTTTTGATTGTGATAATTATATATAATTTGAATACTTGATACATTATATACTGTATTTGTTTTTAACAGATGTTTCATAATTAAAAATATTATTCAAAGGAAAAATGTAAGTTAAAAGTGGCAAATAAATGAATATTATAATTATATTTGACATATAATTTAGATCTAAGTTATAGTGATATTTGTTAACAATAGAATTTTTGAAGATTATTATACATAAAGCTTTATAATTTCTTAAATTTTATTTTATTTTTGAAAATTGTAGTATATGAACAAAAATAAATAATGCATTTCTCAGTTTTATTAGATTTAAGTAGAATTAGAAAATTTATCATAGGAAAATTGTTAAATAAACAAAGTTCTGAATAAAATTTATTTGATTTTAAATTGGTAATGGTAGATTTTTTATAATTTAAAAATGCATCAATAATACTACTAAATTTACGTATTTACCTTTGGAAAAAAAAATACAGAAGAAATGCAACTAGGAAACAAGTTGCAGAGTGAAGTATAAATACATATTAAGAAGAAGAATATTTAGAGAAAAACAAAAGGAGCCAGCCAAAGAAGAAGCAAGAAGGCATCCCTTATCCATATGTCTGTAATCATGTGTTTTTCAATCAAACCTAAAGACTACCAACTCTTCAATTTTCTTGTCCCTCTACTCCACAAACGATAGAGTATCCTTTTGTTTTGTTTTGTTTTGTTTGGTCTGACAGATTCTCGTTTGACTGTGTTGTCATGAAAACTATATAATTTAAGAATAACCAAAATGATTGTGGACTGTGGAGGATGAATGAAATAAAATAATTTCATCTCATGTACTAATTTAAAATTATTATATGTAAGTCATTAAAATAATTTAGACAAGGAATCTAATTTTAAAATATTAATTTTAATAAACATTATACATCGAATCACATATGATCATTTTTTTATTACTTACCAACAAATTACTATATTATACTAATAATTGTTAGATTTCTTCTATAATATTTCTATTATCTCATTTTACTATAATTAAAATTAAACACATCATATATGCTCTAACAATCAACGATACATATAAAATGATGAGAAATCAATAGGCATGGGCATTTGGGGTCCCATTCGGGTTTTGGTTTTGTCCAACCGGGTCTCAGTTCTTCGGGTTTATCAAAATCAGCCCATTCGGATTATTGGAAAGTTCGGTTCGGGATCGGTTCGGGTTCTATCGGGTTCGGGTCGGGGTTAGTAAATATGTAAAGAACCGGTATAACCCGTTATACTTTCGAATTCGGGTCCCAATCGGTTCTTTGGTTTTAAAATACTTGATTTGTACTTACTTTGTAACCAAACCATAAGTAAAATCGGTTCTTCGGATTTAAAGTACCTAATGTGTAACTATTTTGTGACCACAACATAAGTAAAACTGATTCAAAAATAAGAAAGGAGCATCAAACTTGATCATTCAAAATCAAATTAAAGGTAAACATAGTTATCAATAGAAAGAAAATCAAATAAATGAAAGCATAAAACGAAAACCAAGTTCTTAAAAAATGAGCAACATTATTCAACAATAACAAAATCTTAATCTAAAAATTTCAAGTTTCAACTGCCACCTTCAACCATCAACCTTCATGTAATAGATAATTTTTTTAGATGTTTAGTAATATCTTAAAATATTTTGGATATATATTAAGAATTAAAATCATGTTCTATACAGGTTGTGATTAAACATTTTGAATGTTTCGGGTTCTATCAGATATCCATTTAATTTCGGGTTCGGTTCAGATAATACTCATAACCTGAAATACCATAAAACAAGATCCATTCGGTATTTAAATCGGTTTCAAATCAGTTCGGATTCTTTTTTATCAGATCGGGTTCGGTTCAGATTTTCGGGTTCGGTTTATTTGCCCAGCCCTAGAAATCAAATATATTTTAGCAGATAATTAAATGTTAATTTATTTGTTAGTTTAATCCACTTCTTTAACTAAATCTTCAATTGCCAATATAAATATTATTACAAATAATTTAGTTTAAATTAATAGATTTGAACTTATTTTATATTTATATTAATTAATTTTATAGTATGACGGATTAGAATGGAGGTGCTATTCAAGCAAGGATTTATAATCACTTGTCAATGTTTTGTAATTAATTAGATTTTAAAATTGTCAAATAGTTTTCGTTGGTGAATTCTAAAATTCTGCAGTCTGTCTTGGATTTTAATTTTAATCGTTTGTTCATAAACAAATACACCAAATGATTTAAAATCAATTTTAAATATAAAGATTTTTAAAAGCCTTTAAAATTGAATAACACTAGATTATAAAATACTGAATTTAAATCATTCACTGAATATTACATCAGATTTTAAATAATATTTATAAATATCATATCCAATAACATCCCTTATAACACCCCGTAGTAGTGTTTTGTGATTCGAAGTTTTCTACAAATTATTCCATTTAAAGATGAAAAATATCTGAAACATCTGAGAGATAGAATAAAAATTTGATTATAAATCAGTAAAAGTGAGAATGGCGGATCAAATGAATGGATTACTCTATTTTGAATCTCACTAATCTACAATTAAATATACTATCAAAGATTGTAAACTAGATTACAAAAATATTGGGAAAATTACATAAAAAACATTAAAGTTGACAAAAGTTTACACTTTTTTAAACCTCAAGTGCTAACACTTTAAAAAATGAAATTTGTAACAATAACATATTAAACTTCAAACTAACTTACTTGTTGCACACGTCAAAATTGTGACCGGTTACTATGCATTAGCAGGTAAAAAATGGTGACGTGGCGGTTTACTTAAAACACAAAAAATTAATTAATAAAAACAAAAAAATAGATCAAAATCAGTATAAATTATAATTATTGATTTAAGTTCAGGAAAAATAAAGATAATTCAGAAACTAAAAAATAAAATAAATTTATAAATTTAAAAGTTTATAATAAAAATAAATTAAATAGTAAAAAATTATTAAAACTAACAAAATAGTAAAAATAATAAAAAAATAGAGACTAAAAAAGTGTAAAACTGATAAAAATTAGAAAATAGGAAATTATAAAAATTTGGAAAAAAAAACTTCAAAAATAAATAAATTCAAAAGATCGATAAAAATTAGGAAAATTTAATACAATCAGGAATAATTAAAAATTAAAAAATTAAAATATTGAAAATTTAAATTAATAAAGATCAAAAATATATTTATAAATTCAAAAAATAATAATAACAACAATAATAAATTATAAAATTGATAAAATTAAGAAAAAAATCTGAAAAAAAGAAAACCATGAAAGTGGCAAAACTAGCAAAACCCATGAAGTTAGCAAAAGTTTTGAATCCAAATCTATATGATCTGAAGGATCTGAACCCGGGCATCCGAACGTTTATATCTCTACCTAAACATCAAAGAGGTTTGAGTAAAGTATTTTCATTTTCAATTTTTAATATTTTGATATTAGAAATTTTGTTTTCCAGTTTTTTTATAAATTTCTCATTTTCTAAATTTTATCGATTTGTACACTTTTTAATTTTTTTTTTTTTTTTACAATTTTTTAGTTCTAATCAATTTTTACTATTTTTTAATTTTTTTTTATAAAATTTATAAATTTATTTTGATTTTTAAATTTTATGAATTTTGTTTATTTTTTCTGAATTTATATCAGTTTTTAGAATTTAAATTGACTTTTTTTATCTAATTTTATTTATTTTAAATAATTATTTATTTTAAATAAACCGCTACGTCATCGCTTTTACATGCTAATGAACAGTAACCGATTACAATTTTGACGTGTGCAACAAGTAAGTTAGTTTGATGTTTAATATGTTATTGTTACAAGTTTCATTGTTTAAAGTGTTAGGAGTTGAGTCTCAAGATTTAAAGTGCAAATTTTTGCCAATTTCATGATTTTTTATGCAATTTTCCCCAAATATATTATAACAAACATATATTTAGAGGAACACCTTACTTGCACTTGGATACTAGGTTATGTGAATGGGCTAAGCATACCTTAGGTTTGTCTTGCCGCATACATACCTTAATCCACTGTGTTAAGTGTCCTTCTCGTACTGCACATGTCTTAAAGACAGTCATACAGAAAAACAGTTATTATAAATTCCAAGATCCAACCATAGATCACCATTACTTTAAATCGGTTACGATCCAATTCCAGTCTTAATCTATTTCTTTGATTCAAAACTAAACCACACCTCTAGACTACAAAGAGTTAAGAGGAGACAAAGCATAAGAAACCTATTTTCCACAGGTCACCCTGGACCTGGACTAACTTGCACACGAGCAAAGACTCTAAACGTCACAGGCTTTCTCTTCTTCTTCCTCCTGCGCAAAACAATAAAATGCTGCAGACCACCTTGCCTAACTTTCTGGAATAATCTTTTCTTGGCTGCTGAGAACTCCTTCCGCTGAGAGAAACAAAGCTGAATATAACTTTAGCAATTCGATAAACCGCTCTCAGATGACTGAGCTAATGGAAAAAAATAAAAAATGGAGTTCAAACAGGCTAATTAGGATAATGCACACAACAAACTCCTTTTCGTGTCATAATAACCAACTTCCCTTTACAAAATAACTTCTACTTGTTTGTATTTTTTTGTCTTGAAATCAAATCTAACAAGTTAGGGAAGACCAAAAAATGTCACCACCTGCATGCTTAGGCTTGCTGTCTGGTTTATCTTCCTGTTTTACGGCTTTGGTTGCTTCGAGGACCACGACCCGCCCGTCTACCAACTGTGATCCAAATAACAAAGAATATTATATAACAACATAACCAGTTCAAAGAGGTGATGATTCAGTGGTTCAGATGATTCCAAGCAAATAGTTCCATTTTCTATTATAATGTTCCACAAGGGGATTTATCATCAAATACATTTCCGAGCTTAACAAGAGACAGAGCTACAAGACTGAATGTGTGAAAAAGAATGCAAGATAAAATGTAAGGGAGTTCATTAATTCATACCTGTCCGTTAAGTTCAAGTAAAGCTTTGTCGGCTTCTTCTTTGGAAGAGAATGTGACATAAGCAAACCCTTTTGGTCTGCATCTGACTTTGTCCATCATCACATCCACTGAAGCAACAAACACTGTGAAGAAGAGAAAAAAAGATATGTAAAACTAAAGATAGTGTTGAGAAGAAGAGGCTGACCTCCAAGAACTCGACCATAATTGGAAAAGACTCGTGTTAATGTTTCTTCTGTGCTTGAGAATGATATGCCTGCAACAAACAAAAGCCTTCGATTTTTTAGTAGCAGTAACACAAGAAATAACATAAGAAGAAGCCCAAAGACAAGTTTTTTAAATGTAAAGTTTCAAACTTTAAGTTTGATAAGACAATGTGTGACACTAAAGACTTAAACTGACACAAACCCATGTGTGTAACATCTCTTCTGAAATCACTGATCTAATCTCAACAATAGCAAGATTCACTGAACTGTATAAAACACGAAAACCACATTGCCGAAATTCAGGATTTCAATCAGATTAAGCATCAGATAATGAGAGAGAGAGAGAGAGAGAGAGAGAGAGAGAGAGAGGGAGAGGGACCTTTGACGAAAAGTGTAGAAGAGATCTGTAGAGGAAATGGTTTAGCATTTTTTTTAACGGTTTAATGTGAAGCGGTGGATCTTACTCGCCGGCGGTTCCCAACTCTCAAATCCTTCACGAACCAAAGTCTCATTTATATTTATTTTCACCTATGGTAACTTTTTTTGTAGCATAAAGTTATTATTTCAAGAATTATTTTGTTTGGAGGTCTTTTTTTGCTTTAAATCGTCAAATATATTCCATTGATAATCAAAGAAACCAATACTGCAAAGATTAGTTTGTAGCTTGATGCCACATCCCAGCTTGAAATGAGGAGACCCTAGAAGCATCTACAAAACAGAGTATTATTGATCAACTTGACCAATGGCTTGATGGTATTATTGATCAGCTTGACCAATGTCCCATACATTTCGGACATATACCATTAGTAATAAGCATCTTATGTTCAACCTTTGGTGACCTCTGGAAGTCCATCATGAATAGCTTTCCAACCAAAATGTTAATGATTGGGATAAGCTTTACTGAAATATAGTTTGAGAGGAATCACTAAAAGAGAAGATAAGCCTTTTTTTGGCATTGCAGCAAGTAATAACTTGACTTAACAGAAAACTCCCTACTTGTGTTGATCCATGTAATGTTATCTTGCGCTCCTGCACAGTACGGACTCAATGGCTTAACATGGAAAGCATCGAAAGGATGTAGATAAGTCACAAACTCTTGATGATCCTATTCAGTGGTTCTACCAATGAAGATACTTTTACTATACAAATAAGGTGTATGGTTGGTGTTGTAAGCATCCAATTATCTTTCCAAACGTTAATCCTCCCTCCATTACCCAGATCTTTCCAGAACGTTTTCTTCCTCTTATTCAACTAATAGAATAAAAGAGTACATAGGCCACAAACATGCAAATAAATACATGCCAAGATGCAGAAGTTTATTCATTATTATGATTAAGGGTGTACTAATCGCCCAAACATTGGTAGTTCTATATATCGATACAGAACAACTTATGTTACATTCTCTATTCCGTGGCTTTGCCTTTGCGTCGGTTGTTGCTGCCACAGCTCGTCTCCAGTACATAGCAGACCATAGAGTCAACGTCATCCCCAAATATGCTATAAGCTTCCATGGCCTGCGTGTAGCTAAACCCCATCGACAAAACCATCTCAATGCTGCTGCTCAGCACCGTCTTCTCTTTTACTGCCGAAGTTCCTGCTCAAAGAATTTCATTTTGTCTCAGTATGCTTCTTCTCAAGTGTGTTCTAGGTAAAGAGGATTCAGTAGAAAGATAACTCACTAGCTCCAGAAGAGGACGTCTCAGCATTAGAGGTGGATGATTCCTTGGGACCAATTCGTGGCTTAGACCGTTCCATAAGATACTCAGCACGAGAAGCTTCCATTACAGATCGTTCTATTTCCTTCTCGGTAAGCTCAAGGTCAGAGTAATATCTCCCTTCTGCTATGAGCGCCTGGAACAAAGACAGATACGTAAGCAGTCACACACTCAAGACAGATTGGTGGATTATAAATGATACAGGTTACTTGCATTATCAATCTGATGTTCTTGCTGAGCCTTTATAGCAGCTTTCACTTGCTCCCCGTCCACATGTCTCTGGGATAGGAAGAAATATGATGAGAGAAAAAACAAAGATATGATACCTTTCTAATTTGAGTTGTCTTCTTTTGCACAGTTGAACAAAGAAGAGAAGAAACAAAACTTACCCCAGTCAGGCTACTAAATCCAAGTCCAGCACCAACTGTCAACCGGTGTGGATCAACCAACGAATTGTAATGATTCCCGTGGTGGTAACTCAGCCTTATAGGAGGTGTGTCGGTGTTGTAGCTCCCTTGAAATATGTTAATAGGCTCTACATGAAAGAAAAAACATTAGCTGACATACATTTCAATAAAGATCATAAAGAACTTTTTTCCCAATGTCAATCGAAGTTGCACCTGTGCTATATGAGTAAATGTGGATGGGCCTATTATACATTTCTGCCAAAGCTTGGATCTCCACGTTGTTTCCATAGACCTATTATCATTGTGTAAAAGAGGCGTCAAACAGATAGTTGACAGAAAAGTACACAAAGTGAAGACAGGGATAAGAGCAGCGCACCTTGTCTCTTCTTTTCCTCTTCAAGTAAGAGGTGAAGCCTTCAGTTATGAACTGAGAGAAGTGATCCCTCTCGTGTTCCTAAACCATCCATCATGTAACCAGTAAGTTCTACCAATTGTTACCATCAAAACTAAAAACTACTACTTCTGTGCTAGGTCTAAATCAAGGTACACGCGGAAACATCATAGTACTAAAAAGAATATTATTATTGCATACATGATGTACACACTGTTGTTACTCTCTTACTTTGTTTCATTCAACTTGAACTAAGATTGGTGTTGTCTTGGACCCCAACACATAGTCATATAACTAGCCATTCAAATGGAAGATGCTATAACTGTTTCCTTACCTGGTGGAAGGATGACCAGCAACTCAGAAATACATTGGCTAGGAAATACATACAGTTTTAAAAAGCAAATCAGTTCGTTAATCTAAAGATTGTGCTGGTCTAACATCTCACGAAACCCATCAACCTTGGAAAATGAAGAAAAACTACCATGTAATCCATGCACATTTCATCCACACAAACAATTATGTTACTTCCTTACTTAATTTCATTCCACATCACTTCAGATTTAGTGATTTATCTACCTAAAATGCTTCAAGTGTTATCCCTTCTTATTGGAAGGATGGCCAGAGAGCGAAACATGGTGAATAGCCTATATATAAGGTACAATCTAGCTTCATTTTTTTTGGTTCAATGTATCTTTCCCACGTGCTATTCTCAAATGCAAGTCACTTTTAAATCCTAATGGAAGCTAAAATCAAAACCACCTAGAGCTCTAAAAAAGATAACAAAATTACCATGTAATCCATGCACATTTGTCTAGTCAAGTCGTATGACTCGGAGTCCCCATATACTTGATCTGCAACAGCCCGAAAGAGACAATTTCCATCTTCCAACATACGCCTTATTTCAAAGCCTTTCGATTGTCTAATCTCGGTTTCAAACTGATGTTCACGTTCCTATAAGAGCGAGAGTGAAATATATTAACTGAAAATGTATAAAACACAAGCCAAGAATCTACAAAAGTAAAAGAACTTTACCGAGCCAGAGCCAGAGCCTGCATGAGACGGCACAAAGCATGGCATATGCTCATCGGAACTATTATAGCCTTCGTTCTCACTCTGTGATCTTGGCGAAGAAGGATGTGATCCAGTTGGCGAACCCCTAGTGGACACAAGAGAGCGAGGGACGGCCACTCTTCTTGTTGCTCCAATTCGTAAATCGCCAAAACTTCCCAAGACCGATCTCCTATTACCAGTTGTAACATTGGAAGAGGGCTTTGGTGGGGGAACAGGTAAGGGTGGTGAATCAGGGTCATCGCCACCACTAACTGGAGAATCAGAGTCTACACCTTCACAATCAACAACAACATTCTCCGAAATAATCAAAGCCTCATCATCTTCTCTAACCAAAGGTTCATCACTGGGCAGTGATACATCCTTAGCATCAGAAAGTGATACATCCTTAGCATCAGAACATTCTGCTTGTTCTTCAACTACGGAAACCTCATCTTGTTTTTCATCGGTAGTTTCTTCGTAAATAGTCACTGGTGGAGCCTGAACATCACTGCTTACCTGTGACTCAGTTCCTGAGCCAGAGGAAGAAGAAGATGATCCAGACGAGGAAGAAGAAGATGAGCCAGACGAGGAAGTACTAGCAGAGCGGCTTGCGTTGGAAGAACTACCACGTTGAACCAAGATCCGAGCCATGTCGCGTCTTTGAAAAAAAACAAGAAAGGATTAGAGATGATGATCCCAAGGTTTGTCCCTGGTTCTTGCTTTAGGGCCAACGATAACAATCCCTTGAGAGAGGGATTCCTTCCAGCCGTTCTCCACCTCGCAGCAAAACGTTCTCTGCATTCCCCTAGATATCATCAATATTCCCAACTTTAGACCATCCAATACCACTTTTACTAGCTCTAATCACAAAACGAAAAAGAAACTGAATTTAACGAAGCTAACAACACAAGAAACCTTTTAATTTTCTTGGAAACTAAATCTGAAACATTCCCCCCCCCTCAAAGATATCACTTTTACTAGCTCAAAGCCTTCTACAAATTCGATTATACACTTCGAAACCTCCAAAGTATTCAACTTTCAATACCAAAACGCACATCGGACAAAGAAAGCAATCAAATTGAAAACATCTTACATCCAAAATCAATCAAAAGTAGGATCGATACGAAAGGCGTAAAAATCGAAGCCCTAGAGTTGACCAATCGGAAACTCACCGGAGATTTCAGCAGCTGAGAATACAAATTTGAGATCCGACGGAGATTCGGAAAGAACGCAGCGGAAATCGAAAGATTAGGGTTTCGCGAGAAGAAGATTATATATTTATATATATTCTTTGGAGAATGACAAGTGATTTGTTTTTTTTTTTCTTTTGTTAATTAACCGTGGTGTTCGGGTTGGGTAGAGCCGGCCGGAGTGCTGACGTGGACTTAGAGACCCGACTTCTCTACTGCGTCCACACGTGTCCCCATCATCTACGGATGTTTTTCTCCTCCTGCGTAACCCAAGGTAGCTCTGCCACTTGTTAATGGCTAACGATTTTTATGCATTAAGGTTCTGATTAGTTTTCCACCTATTTTTCGGTAGTTAACAATGTTAATCTATATTATGATAAGATAATTTATATTTCCCCTAAAGATATACAAGTCGACATTTTTTTAACCGTGTAGGCCTCACATTATTTTCGGTTATTTAACGTTTTATGAGGAAGTGAACCCAACTATGCCGTTTTATCACAATCCCTCTCAGATTAGGTTTTCATTGTTCTCTTACTTTGACTCTTTAACCTCACCGTCTCTGGTGTCTGTTTCTAGACTCTTGACCTTCAACTTTTTTCATATACATGCATTCCTTTAGCTTCGTTCATATTCCTTTTAAATTTGACAATAAATGTCTGTAATTTGGAGATAGTTGAGAGCAGGCCCGGCTCATTCTTTAATTGGTCTAGTGCAAATTTCTTTTTCAATGAATAATATTGATAACCAGATGATACTTGCGTGGATGCACGGAGTGAATTTAATTTATATTAATGTTTGTTCAATTTTAATATCTTTAAACACTATAATACATATCAATTGTAAACTGACGAATACAAATGTTGGTCTCTTAAGTATATCACATGCTTGGACGTTTGGGGTTTCGTCGGTTTCGGTTCGATTGATTCGGATTTTTAATTTTCGATATTATACTCTTTAGTCTCATTCGGGTTTTATTGATTATCGGATTCAGCTTGGATCAGATTAAAACCAAAATCTGAAATCATCCCAAAACATATTTTTAAAACCTTAAAATTGATAAAAAAATGTTAAAAATTTAAATTATTCGTAAATCTAATTTAAAATTAATTAAACTATCTAAACTAACTAAAGGATATTCAAACTAAAAAAATAAAATAAACTAAAAATATCTTTCAAATACAATAAAATATATAAATTTCCTTGACATATAAAAAACATTAACATATTATACTACTTTCAGATATCTTCGGATCTAGTTTGGATTTTGGATTATAACTAAGTCCCAAAGTACTAAGATCATAAGTCTTTTTCGGATAAATTATAATAGCTATATTGGGTATTATGGAGAAACAAATATTAGACAAATGATCAAATTTTTCATTCTTCGAACAAACTCAAAATGAGGTGATTGGAATCTTGTTATGATATTTAATTAAAAGCTTTTTAGGAATAAATATCAAAAATAAATTATTTAATTTGAATGAAATAATATATATATATATATATATATATTAAGTGCTTCCAATATTAAAAACTAATTCGATTTAAAAAATGTAATTCTCGGATTGTTAGGATCAAATAACATATTAGAAACTAGCTATTTAAAAATTAATTTGTATACACAAAATTATATACATTAGAGTAAATTTATAATCATGTTTTTGGTAAATAAATCAAAACAACCATTTTATTTACTTATAAGGTATATAATTAAAAGCTATTAATATTGACATATATATAGTATATTTTAATATATAGTTATTCTTGATGCTTTCTACCATTTGATTTTATTAACATTTGTATATTTTTCTCTAACAAAAATTTAAATAAATCAGAATTTTTTTATGTGAGATTGTTCCAATACGAATTTCAAAATTAAAATATTAAGATCTTAATAATTTTCACTGGAAATTTTGAAATTAATATATATATATATATTTAATATAGTATATAATTTAACTTAAATGATATTGATATATATAATATGAATATCTATTAAAGAGACTTCATATTCATACAATTTATAATCATTTGTATCTTGCTTGAACAAAAAAAAAAGTTAAATCATTGATCAAAATTTTTCGACGTGGGACTTTTACTATGTTTAGTAATTTCATAGTCGTTTCAAAAAATTCTGCATATAACATATAAGAAAAAATATATTTTTTTTTGTTATATTCTTAATGTAATTGTTTAATTATTTTAATAATATAAAATTAAAGAAAAAAAGAAAGGATACAAATATTGTTATCAAATATGTATTATTCATAATCATTAATTATCATATATATGTTATTCATATTAGGTAATTTCGCTGCTTTTATTTAAAGAAACAGAGAATATTCTTTTGTACACTAATAAGTAATCTGATAGTTAGTTTATTAAAAAGTATAGTATATAACTATATGGACCAACTTAATTTTCTAAGGATTTTGAAAATTGTCCTGGTGATGACACGTGGCTATAAAAATATGTTGTAATGCTCTATAATTAATATGTAGGGAATCTGTAAAAAAAGTCCTAATTTTCTAAAAAATGCCTTTGCAAATGCACTTCCAACACTGCCATGCACTTCAAGCCCACTTCGCTCCTCAACCTTTGACCCTCTCCGTTAAGGCTGGCTGCAGATAGATAGTCTGACACGGCTACTTCGATTTTGGACGTTGCCATCTGGCTGATTGATGGGAATGTATGTCAAATATCTATGTGTTTATCAAAAGAACAAAACAAGTTATTGAATTCTGTAGTTTTCTGATCCATTTTACCCCTTCACAGTCAACCCTAATCAAGAGTCTATCAACATTTACCGGTTGGATCGTTTTATGAGCTAAGCGCCACAAAGCGAGGGACTCATCGCTCTAAGACCTCATTATCAGGAGAGGCACATAAATCCTTTTATTTCCCTCGCTTTTCATCGCTTTTGAGATTTTGCTAAAGTACTAGAAACGGCGATTTGTTGTACCTGTTAAAAAAGGTAAAATTTTATTCAAATTTGTGAACAAAACTGTTTAAGAAGAATATTTAGTATATTTATAAGTATATTCTCTTTTCACGTATTAGGCGTGTAGAGGAAGGTTTCCACAACCCCATTAACCTAGGATACAATTCCACTAACCCTACTTCTTCTCCTATATAATAACCCTCCTAACCTTAAGTTAAAATCATTAGCTTCTCTTCTCTTCTCTTAAGCACACGGCAGTGGCTTATTGTTTGCAAGGTTTTTAGCTCATTAGTAATCAAAATAGCTTCTTTTCATTTCTTGTTTATATTATAGTTTCTTCTTAAATCAGTAGCATTTTCTCTAACATATAAGTATATGATTGTGTTTTGTTTATCATAGCGTCTTCTTGTTAAGTTAGTTTCTTTAATGCAAGTTTAGGATCGTTTTGTTTATATTCAATAGCTTCTTCTCATTCTATGTTTGTTTATGTTGTAGTGATCATTTTTGACGCTGGATCTGGAACATCTCGAGGAGGGTCTCAAGAAAGAGGGTCTCAAGGTGGAGGTCTCAAGGAGGACAATAAGTGGAATCATGGTTAACAACAACATCAACCACTAGAAGTGTATCTTCTGCAACTAGGTGTTAACTGCGGGAGTTTCACGGTTGAAACAACATCTTGTTGGCGGGCACCAGAATGCAAAGAAGTGTCCTCTTTGTCCAGAACATGTCAGAGATGAGCTGGGGAAGTACATGGCCGTAAGAGCTGCAGACAGAGCAGCTCAGTCAATGAGGTACGAAGCTGCGGTGAATGAAGATGATGTGGAAGACGTGGATGGTGATCAGCCAGTACGAAAGGCTGCCAAGAGGAAGAACAATGGTCCTTTGGACAAGTTCGTGCTGTCATTGCCTCTAGACAACTTGAAAGGAAGAAAGGATATGAAAGCAGTGTGTGGAGCTTGTAACAAGGAGTTAAGAGACAAAGTGTGTGGAGGCATATCAAGGTGGTTTTACGATGTTGGGATTGCTTTCAAAGCTGCCTCACATGACAGTTTCAAGGAGATGACAGAGTTGATCGGGCAGTATGGGATGGGGTTAAAGCCTCCTTTGATGTATGAGCTCTAGTTCTCTTTGCTTCAAAAGGAAGTAGCCAATGTTCAAGCTGACATGGTTCCTAACAGAGAGGAGTGGGCAGTGAAAGGATGCTCGATCATGTCTGATGGATGGTGTGGTTCGGTGGTGCAGAAAGACATAGTGAACTTTCTGGTTAACTCACCAAAAGGCTCTATGTTCATCTGGTCAAAAGAAGTTTCTGAAGTCATCAAAGATGCTACACTGCTGTTCAAGTTACTTGATGATATGGTGGAAGAAGTTGGAGAGAAGAATTTGGTTCAGGTTGTTACTGATAATGCCTCCAACTATGTGAAGGCCGTGAGACTTTTGGAAGCAAAGCGTTCACATCTTTTTTGGACTCCGCGTGCTGCACACTGCCTTGATTTGATGTTTGAGGATATTGGCTAGATGGAGGCAGTGAAGAGTGCAATGAAGAAGTGCATGTTCATCAATGCTTACATCTATTGTCGTGCCCCACTTGTAAACATGATGAGGAGGTTTACAGAGAAAATTAACTTGCATAGGCCGGCTGTAACAAGATTTGCAACATTTTTCACCACCATGTCTTAGTATCACCTTCAGAAAGCTAATTTGAAGAAGATGGTGACCTCAGAGAAATGGAACCAATCGAAATGGCCTAAGGAAGCAGGAGAAAGGAAGCTGAAGCAATATATTCTTCAAAAGAGCTTATGGAGGAGCATTGCTTATGCTTTGAAGATAAGTTGTTCCTTGGTGTAGGTGCTCTGGATGGTTGATGGTGATAAGAAAGCACCGATGGGGTACATCTACGCTGCTATGGATAGGGCGAAAGAAACCATTGCTAAGAGCTTCAAAGGGAATAAGGAGAAGTATGAGAAGGTGTTTGAGATAATAGACAAGTGATGGGACTGTCAGCTTCATCAACCACTTCACGCTGCAGGTTACTTCCTCAATCCAGCTATTCATTATACACATCCTGCTGATGTTTGTTGTGAGGAAGTGGAAACTGGTCTGTACCAATGCATCATAAGGTTGGTTCGAGACAGTGTGATTCAGGACATAATCATAGCAGAGCTTGAAGTGTTTAAGAATACTAGTGGACTCTTCGGTCTTGCCATGGCTATTAGGCAGAGAGAGATGAAGTCGCCATGCAAGAATTCTCTGTTTTCTGCTATCCATGATTTATTTTGAGTTTGAAATGTTTAAGAATGGTTGTGTAT